ACCCAATCTGTTGACAATGCCTATCCCAGTTCCCTGGACAATAATGCTGAAGAGGCCTCGGGTAATACACTGTGCGCTGCCAACGGTTAAGCCACTGCCAACTAACAAACTGAGGAGGCAGAGAACTTGGGCAGGAAAAAGGAGTCAGGGTTTCACCCCTGCATGTATCCCAGGGCTTGCAAAATAATTATTTTCATCTCACTGGGTCACAATGAAGAGGAAAAGATAGGAGATGCCCTTGGTTCTGTGCCTCGAGGTGAAGACCTTTGAAATGCCTTTTTCAGATTCCCGGGTGCATGACCACCTCAGGGAGCAGAGCACAAACCCTTAAATACCCCGCACCTTGGTTTCTCCCACCTCTAAGTACTCTTCCTTCCTTAATTCCAAAAGTATAAAAAAGCTGCAAAACTGTCATTCTACAGGGCATCTGAGCTCTTGCTCCCCAGCACTGTAGTCAGTTTGGTTCAAGTAAACTCGTAAAAATTCTCTACAGGTCTGAACGTCCTTATGTTGACACCAATGACAGAGTCATGTAAAAATAGTGCTGGTTTCTGCCTACCGGCCTCGGGAAGCCCGCAGCTCACGGGCACACTGTGGAGTGCATGTCACAAGGAAACAGTGTCATCACAGTTAGGAGCAAGATGGGTCAGGGACACATCTCACGGGGACAACATGGACCATTAGAATCCTGTCCCCACGAGGCTTTCCTCTTCTCAGCCTAGATTTATCCACTTGTTTTTCAGTTTTCATCACCAGAATCTAAGTCCTTGAGGGTGGATATAGCAGGTCCTCGAATCATGATGTCAGTTTGTTACAACGTTGATGAGGTGCTGTAGAAACTTAATTCTTGCAGATGTTATAAAATTGGTTTTTGCCCAGCTGGGGTGACTCGGTGGTTGAGCACTGACCCACAAACCAAGAGGTCACCAGTTTGATTCCTGGTCAGGGCACAGGCCTGGGTTGTAGGCTAGATCTCCATTAGGGGGCGTGCAGGAGGCAGCTGATCAATGTTCCTCCCTCATTGATGTTTCTATCTCTCTATCCTTCTCCCTTTCCCTCTCTCTAAAATGAGTAAAAACCTATTAAATAATAATAAATAAAATAGTTTTTGTTATGGGTCATTTCACTGAAAGTCACAGAACCTATCGACATGTTAAGTGAGGACGTACTATATATGCCTCCTATTCACTGTGGTGACTCCAGTCTAGAACAGTTCCTGGCATGTAGGAAAGCATTCAAAATTATTCCATGCGTGCTTTTCAGGGCCTCTTCACAAACATGACACAAGAATGGTTCCTGCCCATTTAAAGTAGAGGGAGCTAGGATCCGAACAGCTCGGGGAGTCCTGCCAGAGAGACAGCTAATGGGCACAGGGCCGAGAGGCAGGGGGACGTGTCCGAGCTGCTACCTGGAAATCTGGAGTCAGCGCCATCCCAGGGTGCATGAAGCAATCCTCCCCACCCTGTGGAGCAGGTTCCACAAGCCACCAACTCTCAGTAGGGATTTCTCAAAACCTCTCAGTCTTGAGAAATAAAACTCCAAAGTCCTCCTCCTTCAACACTGTGCAAGCGAACTCTGCTGCAATTCAGTGACTGCCTGGGCCTCGTGCTCTCTCCCTCGTTCAGCTCACTAACAGGAGCTGTAGCAAGTTAGCCAGGAGTAACCAGGAGCACCCAGCGTTCCGTCCCACGCGCACCGATGGCTATCTCCTCCACCATTTCCTTTACAGATCACCTGTCAGGGACCGCATGTGTGAAACAGTCCCACCAGGAAGGCACAGAGTCGCCATGGTACAGACAGGAAACCGGCTCGGGGAGGTTAAGGACTTCACTCCTGATGGGATGTACACCCCCTGGTACCCCCTTGGGGTAGAGAAGACAGAAATCCTGAGTGATGCTTCCAAAGCCCTTGCATAGCTTGTGTGCTTTTCCCGCTCTCCACCCCGTAGCGGTGGCAGGCTTCCCTGCCTCAGACCCCACACTGGCCCTCACTCTGCTCTGGACAGGGAAGAGGGAGACGCCAGCCTCTTCAGCCATCTCAGGTGAAAAACAAAACACTCTGCAGAGCAAGCCTCCCATGTGACAGAATTCTCCCTGCCCCTGGGGAAAGACCAGTCACTGTGCCCCAAATTCCTAGTTCCACAGCTAAAAGCGCTCAGAGCTAGAAACACTTGGAGCCTCTCCTCCTTTAGAAAATGTGACCCCAGTAGTATCGAGGCCAAAGAGTGGATCCCTAAAAACAGAGGCAGCAGTCAACTCAAGGGAGGGTCGTGAGCACCTGCCGAGAGCTCCTGGCGCACAGCAGACCCTGCTGGAACTACAGGACACGCCCACTTCATCTAAGAAACACGCAAGGAGGCAACTCTGCCCAATGGGCAGCGGGGCCTACACCTCTACACAGGGTAAAAACCCAGCTCCAGTTACGTCTCCAGTCTAAAAACAAGAAAGGCAACACTGGGACCACAAACCTGTCCATGAGCAGGAGCGCAGAGGAGACAGACATCGCGTCTACTGTGGCCACATGGCTCTGCAAGGCCAGCCGCAGACGGTCGGACTCTCCCCTCGCCGCATTCCTGGCAGCTGGAGCCAGAGTCCCGGGGAAGCACCATGGACGCCTTCAGAGCCCAGCTCCACAGTCTGGAAGGTTAAGGCACCAGGACAGAGCGGCCGCTGGAAAGGCGGGGGCGGGGCAGGCAGGGCTCTGACTCCTAACTAGTCACAGGGAGGGAGGAGGGAGGAGGAAGAAAGGAGGAGGGCGGGCAGTCTGGGAAGCAAAGCATGAGTGACCGGTTCCGGGGACTCAGCACAGCTCCACTCCACATCTCAGCACCATGCAGAGACCCAGAGCCACACACAGCGCCAGAGAGGCCAACGAGCCACAAAACCCAGGGCACTCCTTTCTGGGAAGCAAGATGAAGTCACAT